GGGGCCTTGAACACTGCAAGGGGGGGGGCAGCCACAGCTTCTCTGGGCACCCTGTGCCAGCGCCTCAGCACCCTCACAGGGAAGAACTTCTTCCCGATGATATCTAACCTGAACTTTCCCTGTTTAAGTTTGAACCCATTCCCCCTTATCCTGTCATTACAGTCCCTGATGAAGAATCTTTCTCTGGTACCTTTGAAGGCCCCCTTCATATACTTGAAGGCTGCTATGTTAAGTTTTTAACCTAAAATTAAAGGTTTCAGACAATGCTTGTCCTTTTAAGTGCAATAATACAATATTGGATGTATATTTGTTTGAATCAGGGTGTTATCAACATCAATGGTGCTTTCAGTCTCTCTGCTAGATGATAATTTTAAGAGGAAAAGTTAGAAGTTGTTTTTTTACTAAAAGAGTTTGGTCATTTGTATTTATCCTGTAGCAATAATTAATAAGAGCTGTCCCCATGAATTAGGCTGCCACATGCAGAATTAATAATACAGAAAAAATACACTTGGCCTTCAATAAACATTAAAACACATATTGTAAACAAAATAATTTTAGGTGGAGGAGGTGAATCTATGATGCCTAGCCTTTCTTTAGCACATGACTTCAGTATAGCAGGTTTCGATCAGCACTGTCCCAACCTGCACAGTAAATGCTGAATAATTACAACAGTTTGTTAATGCATCTGCAGGAACCGGGGTAACCGGGGTCAACCTCCATGCCAGAGAGGCTTTAACCGCTTGGCTTGCTTAATTGCAGCACATATTTCACATTCATGAATAACCTGGGCAATAGTGTCCATTGTTAAGTCCACCCCTCGATCACGAGCCCATCTATATGTTGCATCTCTGCCCTGATGGCCTGAGGTGTCATGGGCCCACCGGGCTAAAAATAATTCACCCTTATGCTGCCAATCTAAGTCCATTTGAGCCGCTTCAATCTCAGCAGCTTTATCCACTTGTTGGTTCTTCTGGTGTTCCTCAGTGGCCCGACTCTTGGGTACATTTTGTACAGGTGGCTTTTTATGACTAGCTTGGTATGATCAAGAAATGGGATTCTTTTTCTCTGCCATCCCCCAGATTATTGTTCTGAAATTGAAAGAGTTGGTTACTCATTAATTCTTTCAAAAGTATTTGATTCTTCCCATTTTGAAAAGCACATAGATCTAGGGGTTTAGTAATCATAATGTAAATGATCAATAAACCCACAAAATAGTTCTGCAAGACTTTAGTTTTTATCCCTTAGCAGTTGTTCAGTTACCTTTGCAACCATAAAGATTTATAATTTGCAACTGGAACTATGCCGTGCAAGCGAGGCCTAAGGCTGCGCAGGCACTAATGGCTCATTCCCATCTTTCAGCTTTCAGAGTATGTTCTTAGATTTCTACTATAGTACAGTGGAAACTATGTTAACTGTGGTTACGCAGGGTGAAAACCCGTGCTATGCTGCCACGATAAAGTAATGAAGAACATGAGTGGGATCAGTTACCAGCAGGAAATAGCGGCAAAGAGTACAGTCCCTGTTCAGTGCAGTTGCTTGACAGATTTTCAGGCTGAAGGGGTTTTGGGGATAAAAGGGGGAATAAAGTTCCTGTTGTTCAGTATTTGGGAGAACGACGTGCCCTGTGGGCACAGTTTTCTAAGACTTTCATACAGACTGTTCAAAAATATTGTTAAGTGGAAGAACTTAAACATCTTCCCATGATAGGATGTTTTGGGGGTTTTATGATGTATGCTTTCCTGTCCCTTTATGGACCTGGTAATTTGTCAAATTGTAAATGTTAGACAGCATATAACATTTTTGTCTGTGACTAATGAGAAGGAAGTCTTTCTTTATAAATACTGGTTGTTTTAGTACAGACCTAATGCTT